AGCCCAAAACCATTCTACAGAAGGAATGGGGCCGTCTTCTCCGAGAAGATATTTACATTCTCCGAAATTCCAGTTAAGAGCCCCTTTGAGTCCTCCTCCTCTGTGCCTGAGGTTTTCACTGTCTGACAATGTTACTCAAAGGGTTTTCAGTGGCTACTTTGTCCAAAGCGGACAGCCTATTCCTCCTTCATATTCAGGGCGAAGCTGAAGAAAATGAAAACACGTCCACAAGAGCCAAAATACACCGGAGTACTACCCATCTGGATCCCGAGACCATCTCAAGGACAGACTTGCTGCACCAAACACTAAGGACAGGAGGCCAGACGAGCTGTGGGAGGACATCAAGACCATCACTCGCGAGGAGAACGTAAGTCATTGGAAAGGCCGGACAGACCGAGAAGAACAAAGTGGGTGTCAGAAGAGACTCAAACCTGCTCTTCGTCATAAAGCAGCAAAAGGAAATGAGAGACATGACGGCACCAACACGCTGAACAGGCAAGTTCAAAGGGCAGCGGGAGAAGACAAACTCAGATATTATAATGAAACAGAACTCACCATAGTTCCTTGCTCCACCTCTCAGAAGTCTGGGGAAATGCTGCCTCCAAGCCCAGGAAGCCGCCCGGGCACAGAGATGGGAGTGGACGTGGGCACCCAGCAGACGGAAAGCAGACGAACGGGCCTTCTCCACACCCCAGTCAGAGCAGCTGACAGCCTTCGTGGTGCTTTCAGGATGTGCACGACGGTCAGGTCCGGGAGCCCAGCTGACCTCACTGCACCCCACCTGAGACCTGGAATGCAGAAGGGGGGGAGGGAGACGGTGTTGAGTAAGAAGAGAGGGGCAGGTGTCGAGCTTCCTCCCCAGCTGAGGGTAATGCTCTCCCCTGAGCGTGTTGGTGGCTCAGGTTCCAGAGCACAGCACACACCTGCGATCTTCATGCAGCTCCGCGGCCTCTTCTTTATGGCAACGAGATGGAGGCACTGACTGATCCCACGGCAGGAGAAGCAACCAGGCCTGGGGCAGCGGGGAAATTGAACCTGAACTTGAACCTCCCTCCCATCTGTCCTGCAGAGTGGGTGGTGGTTTCGAACTGCAAATATTGCAGTCAGCAGCCCAATGCACAACCACTGCGGCACCTGGCTCCTTACTTTCATTTACAGCACTGTGATATACGATTGGTAGTTTTCCTGTTGGGTTAGAAATCAGCATTACTTTCGTACCCTGGTGTATTTTTGCATTGTTCTCAAAGCATGGCACCACCAGGCAATCAGCAAATAAGTCAGAAAATCATATGCTTTCTCTGAGAATCTACCTACCTCCTCAGCTCCCTTATCTCTTCACCCTTCATTCACCCAAGCTGACTCCTACTCTCATCCGTCTCAATCTAAATGCTCTCTCCAACATGATCTTTACTCAAGGGGCTTACCTGCAAACGTGAATGCTCAATTCTTAATTCACATCCTAATTTCTACATTTACTATTTCCAACATGAACTACGATTTCCTCATTATGTAGAACCTCTAGTTTACGCCAGAATTGCTGAATCGATATCCTGGGTTATTCACATTGATGTTCAAGTCTGAGATGCATGCACTGGTCTATAGCCTGTCACTCAAGAAAGGAGTAGCCCATCCGCATATCTGTGGACCATCTACATACACATGACGCTCCTGCACCACCTTCCTGGCCCACAGCGGACCTCCAGGTTCAGGCCTCTTCCGTCTTCCTTCACTTCACTTGATCACGACAAGTTCCTGCCTCAAGTCATTCTATCAAGGTTGCCATTTCCAAAATCCATTTGCGGCACAAGAACGTGTAATGCCTGCCGGTGGCTTCCCACTGGCCTCCAAAGAGCCATCAGCACCGGTCTAAATGACCCGCTGCTGTTGCCGCCTCCAACCTGGCCACGGAGCACCTCGCTCCCAACACCCGACACGAACACGCCGCCCTTTCTCCGCTTCGGGCCTCTCTTTCATCAAGGAATGGGTGGCCCTGGATTCTCGGCTGTCACGGGGATTCACACTTTTCCCAACTGAGAGGGCCTTCCACGCCGCACACCGAGCGGTCTGCTGAGCAACCTAGCCTTCTGAATCTCCACTTCAATAAGCGTTCCTTTCAAGCAGTCTCACCTGACTCGAAATGACCATCCAGATAAAGGGTCACTTCCTTGTGGGGCTTGGAGGTTGGGAATCTATTGAGAAGTGGCTGCCTCATCTTTCTGCCAGAGTGGCAGGTAGACTAGATTATGGAGTGTCAATTTAGTGGCCCAATGCTTAACCCAGAGGGACATCGGTGCTCCTTTACAGGGAAATCATGCACGTTGTGAAAAGCAATGGTAACATTCCACATAAATGAGCTTGTATTCACCTCATAAAGCTCAAAGTCAGACTAATGTGGAATGACCTCTTTCAGAACCCTGCGAAATATTTAAACAGAGACAGAAGTGGAAGTTACTGAGGG